TGAGGCACAGCTGTGCATGAGAGAGTTAGCTTGAAGTTGAACGTCGATGACGTAATGGCAGCGGTCATGTTAGTGGCACCAATTGGTCAAGATTTGGTGCGCACATCTATGCATGCACCATTGCCTGCATCATAGCGTGCTAGCCAGTTATCTTGATCGGACGCCTCCTCTCTTCCACGGCACGTGATACGCAAAAACAGGTAGCAAAGATGTTAATACACATGCCTCAACCCCTCCGGCTCCTATATCCCCCTTGGCCTGATTGAGCAAAGGCAAATCTTTTCCGTTTTATGACTTACTAATTTCACATGCTATGATGTTATCACACCCGCCTGAACATCAGCGTGCTCCAATAATTTTTTATGTTGCGCTAAAATAAGCATAAATTCAAACCTACTTGTGAATCAGAAAAGCATGAATGCTTTCAAACAAGGTTGGGAGGCTAGAGAAGTTTCAGGCTCTTTCGGATTACCTTTACTGCGCAGTTACTGCAAAACAACATGCGTAGTCAAAAGCTCCATTGGGCTTTCGATGCGATTTTTGCAATCGGTAAACCCGTAACCAGTGCTTGTTTAGGTTTGATAACCGCCAGCTTCCGTATAAATATGCTATTCACATTTAATTCTCCGGCTTTATTTTCAATCGACTTACCATAATGTATTATACACTTAATCGTAGGATGCATAAACTGGAGTATATTACTATTGTAAATATTTATCTCCACCAATTTTGGAAAATTGAAGGGAAAACGTCTCCCAATCACTAACCTTAGTGGGTTTTCCACTATCCACGAAAGTATAAAAGGTAAGCGCTTTTTAAGGAGCTAACTCGCAGTTAGGCGCTTTTCGTCGTGGCGGTCGAAAATTCTGCGAGCCAATGAACAAAGCCGTTAGGTTTTGGACGGAGCTGTTGCCAAATTTTGGACTGCAAAAGCTAGCGGATCACGCAGCATGACACTTAGCATGGGTGCTGCTTCACCGACTTGTCTCCCACATCCCATGACAATACTTGCTTTCCAATGGGTGTTTTGACTGCTGATGACCTTACCATGAGTGGCTTGCTGGCAGGTTGAAGAAGAATGCGTCACAATTAAAATACAAACATTCAGTTGCGGTTATCATCCTTGGAACTTGATGTAAACAGAATTAATATCAGTCTCTAACTAGAATGATAATAAGTGTCACATCTCTTGAATGGTAATGTAACGAAGTCACGAATGAATGCACCTTATGCTTAAACTGGGTTTTGTGTGGTCTACAAAATTTCTGCAGACTTTGACATCGATGGCACGTTGTAGTGGTTTATATTTCATACTATGTTCGAATAAACCAGTGCAGAATAAGGAGAGAAGGATTCGCTAAATCCATTCCCTCACTTGAACAGTCGATGGTTAAATGGGGGTCAATTATATTCGAGAACATGTTAGCGACTAC